ATAACTCTGTAATTCTTCATCTTTTAATCCGAAAGATGTTAGAAGGTCTTCTCCTTCATCTCCTAGACAGTATAAAAGCATATTAACTTGATTTTCCCCACTCTTACTGTCTAAACCTGAAGCTAATCTAAACCTTTCAAATTTTCTTATCCATCTAGGCCATTCAGAAGGTTCCCTGAAATTGAAAGGTTCAGGTGTGACAAGTTGGTATTGAACTGTAGGTACTAATTGTACTACTCACTGCTTCAGCCATTCTTAGTTCTTTCTTCTCCACAAAAGTTTATTTAACCTGACACCATGAAGTGAAAGGTAAAACTCACACCACAGTTAAACATAGATACTTTATTAGCCAAGATCCCAAAAGTAAGTCTTCAAGCTCAAAAACAACAATACAATAAAAACAAACATCAAAATATGCAACATATGATAGTAATTATAAAAATACCAAACAGCACAATGATCCCTAGAGTCAAGAAATCTTGTCGTCAATTTTGGAGAATAATTGGCGTAAGAACTCAATATTTTGGAAATATAAAGATGAACTTGTTTTGGAAGATGGTTTGATAGTAAAAGGAAGACGAATGTTCATACCTAGAAGCTTACGGAAAGAAATGTTAAACAAAATTCACGAAGGCCATTTAGGTATAGTGAAATGTCGTTCAAGAGCAAAAGAATCCGTCTGGTGGCCGGGCTGTTCGAGAGATGTCAAGTCTGAAGTAGAAAACTGTCTTGTGTGTCTTGAACACCGTCAAGTGAACAAACAGCCTTTGATGCCCACAGAACTACCAAAAGGTCCTTGGGTCTATCTTTCCGCAGATCTATTTATGTGTAATAGAACGTGGTTCTTGGTGGTTCAAGACTATTATTCAAGATTTATTGAATTAGTTGAACTCAGTGTTCTGTCCTCCAATTTGGTTGTAGGAAAGTTAAAGAACATTTTTGCAAGACATGGAATTCCATACAAGATTCGGACTGATGGCGGAACTCAATTCACATCACAAGAGTTCAAGGATTTTGCAAAAGAGTATGGGTTTGAAGCAACTACCACCAGTCCGTACTTTCCTCAGGCAAACGGTGGTGCTGAGAACGCAGTGTCAATAGCTAAAAGAATATTGTTGAAAAATAAAGATCCAAATCTAGGGTTATTAGTTTACCGCACAACAAAGTTAGAATCGGGACTGTCTATTTGAGTTCCTACGGAATCAGCAATAAATAACTAAAAGTCCTAATTCTTTCTTATTATTAGGGCTAAATAACAAAGAACGTTTATACTTCTCATCTAAGCAACAGAGCAGCATGTCCTCATATGTAGGCAGCGATAATCCACTTAGTTCTTTAGGCACTCCGATGATAGGGCACGCAATAGACTGTCTTGTAACACGCGGACTGTTTCGAGATGCCATCTCAAAACTACAAAATATAATTACACTTTGTCACAATGTTGGTTATAACACTGGTTGATTACACTAACAAAACGTAGCACTACCATTAATGCGGACCAGTTGCCACTGCCATCACTGCCCGCCTCGGCGTCACGTAGCCTGGTCAAGTCTATTGTCGCCGGCGGAAGGGGAGTTAGCTTTGTGGATAGCTAACTAATATTATACTCTCGGCCTTTTGCACGAATACAGTCAAGGAAAAACAGATCTGAAAGTATGATTTACGTGTTAGGAAAACTATTTAGAATAGTTTCCACACTATTACAAATTTAAATTAATAGTTTTATGGTTTTGGCATATGTTTAAAAATCGTAAAGAGTCATGAAAAATTGGTTTTTGACGAAAAATCCTGCAACTTTAGGCCTTTTGCACGATTTCAGTTCAATTGCAATGGGTCTTATTTTTATTTATATGCATTAAGGCCACTATTTAAAGCACTTTTTTGACAATTAGAAAAATACAATTTTACGTCTTTTTGAAAATTACTGGTAATTTCATTTTTTTGGTAACTTTAAGCCTACTGCGCGATTTCAAATTAAAAAAAAAAATTTTATTATTTTTTCTTTATTATGACGTACATGCGCAAGTTTTCCTCGCTATTAGAATTTGATAAAAAAAAAATTAAAAATTCGAGCTACCCTAATATGCAAGTAGTGTTATTTGACATATTTTTGTACTTTCAGAATAATTAAATGAACGTTTCGTGGACTAATTAAAATATACTAGGCAGACTTGGTTTTTTTCTCTGTTTTACATTCATAACACCTAAACATATATCTACCAAATGGGTTACTTCTATTCATTGTAGAAAAAGTGTCAGTCCCAAAAGACAAAAAAAAAAAAATACAAAAAATAAAATAAATATAAAAGACAAATAAATACAAAAAACAAAAAAAAAATAAATGTAGAGCTCAGTGGTAACTAGAGCATAGAGCTATGCAGTAAAATGTGCTATAATTTAATGGGCTGGAAATAAAAAAAAATACTTGTAGAGGTGTGTTTTAGTGAGAGCTTTTAAGTTGTCCAGTTTTAGTAACCGGTAAAACAATGAAATGGATAAGCATTGAAGTTGACTCCTTGTCAACTCATACTAACCGGTAGTCCTTCAATAAAATCTTCACTTTTACTTACCGTAGCTGAGCAGTCGACAAGCTCAGATTCAACTGGCGGAGTTATGAAAAAGAAATTATTATAGGGAGTTAATTAAAAGTTTCTTGTCATTTTTTTTCTTTCGCTATTTTGTGCATGCCTTTGTTTCCCAGGCATATTAAATCTGCAACTCTACAGTAACATAGTACCTAACTGCTATATCACTGAGACAACACTGTTACTACACCAACACTGAGAAATAGCTTAGGTTTACTTCACAATGTTAGTGTACCATCTACATTTTAATTACTAAAAATCTTTTGCAAAACTTATGACAGCTAGCCTGACCATACTACTGAACCGAATTACATGCGTTTGGTACCAAATGAAAGATATTTTCCTGTAGATGTGCAAAATCCCTTAATAAATTAAAATAGGCTGAAAAAAAAATTAATCTTATATATTTAAAAAATTGGTTTTTCTTTCCCGACTACGTTATGGCTCTTCTACCCAACCAATTTTCATGATTGACGTCTCAAATTGAAGGTATGCAAGCACAGATTTGCCATCAAGCATCGGCATATAATTATCTATAGTATCACCCGGTTTATACGTATAAACAAATTTGCTCCCCATGTATTTCTTATGGGAGTTAAATTTGGTTTCTCTTTACCGAGTTCATTTGGCTCTTCTACCCGACCGATTAACATGTATGAGGTCTCAAATTGAAGGTATGCACGCACAGATTTGCCATACAGCATCAGCATGTATTTACCTATAATCCCACTCGGCTTATATGTAAACGAAATTTGCTCCCCATGTAGTTCTTATGGGAGTTAAATTTGGATTCTCTTTGCCGAGTTCGTTTGGCTCTTCTACCCGACCGATTAACATGATTGAGGTCTCAAATTGAAGGTACGCACAGATTTACCATCAAGCATTGGCATATAATTATCTATAATCCTACTCGGCTTATATGTAAACAAAATTTGCCCCCCAAGTATTTCTTATTGTAAGTTAAATTTGGTTTCTCTTTGCCGAGTTCGTTTGGCTCTTCTACCCAACCGATTTTCATGATTGAAGTCTCAAATTGAAGGTACGCACAGATTTACTATCAAGCATTGGCATATTATTATATATAATCCTACTCGGCTTATATGTAAACAAAATTTGCCCCCCATGTATTTCTTATTGTAAGTTAAATTTGGTTTCTCTTTGCCGAGTTCGTTTGGCTCTTCTACCCGACCGATTAACATGATTGAGGTCTCAAATTGTAGTATCACTCGGTTTATACATAAAAAAAATTTGCTTTCCATGTATTTTTTAAGGGAGTTAAACTTGGATTCTCTTTGCCGAGTTCGTTTGGCTCTTCTACCCGACCAATTTTCATTATTGAGGTCTCAAATTGAAGGTATCCACGCACAGATTTGCCATCAAGCATCGGCATATATTTATCTATAATCCCACTTGTCGGCTTATATGTAAACAACATTTGCCCCCCATGTATTTCTTATTGTAAGTTAAATATGGTTTCTCTTTGCCGAGTTCGTTTGGCTCTTCTACCCGACCGATTAACATGATTGAGGTCTCAAATTGTAGTATCACTCGGTTTATACATAAAAAAAATTTGCTTTCCATGTATTTTTTAAGGGAGTTAAACTTGGATTCTCTTTGCCGAGTTCGTTTGGCTCTTCTACCCGACCAATTTTCATTATTGAGGTCTCAAATTGAAGGTATCCACGCACAGATTTCACATCAAGCATCGGCATATTATATCTATAGGCATATACCTATTGTATTACTCGACCAAAAACATAATTTGATTCATTATCGAATTCTTACTCCATTTTTAAGATGTATATTACCAGTTAATTATATATCCTACATATTTTGGTCTAAGAACCTTCAGTGAAATACCGGCTTTCATTTATGCTATTAGGTATTCAAATTGGACGAGTTTCAAGCAAAATAGGTGAACAACCAACATAAAATTATTTTTCATATGGTTTTTCTATGATTAAAAATCAATAGCTCCAGTATTGTTCATGTTTTTTATATGTTTTAGAAACAATAAATTATATGCTTCAATTTGAGCTATTGATCGTTTAAATCAGTTAAGCTCAAGATACTGTATAACTCAATCAAAAATGGTAAATTTTATTATTTCTCGGATATTATATTTGTTTTAACGCTGCAGAGCAGCATGGGTCATCTAGTTTTAAATAAATAAATAAATTAACATGGGTCTTATGGGTTGCCATGTTGGTGACGAAATAATAACAAAATAAGTTATAAACAGAAAATAAAAACAAATTAAGAAAATTCCAATCACATGATTTATTTAGAGCGTGGATTAAAAATGGAGAAGTTTGCAAAATACATACTTTTGGTCAAGTTTTCGACCACGGGGTGAGCTCTTATATCATTACTATAATAACAGGGTAAAAATTCCAAATTCTAGCAACACTCTACGGTATTTATTTTTTAACTTTTCAGTTTATGCATGTTTTATTGGCAGTATTTTTTGAAAACAATACTAAAATACAACAATAATAGAGTTAAGTATTGTATATGTTAACACAGCTCGTGACATCAGAGAGCTACAAAAAATAGTCACACACAATTTTAAGTACCTAATATCTTAGTTGCATTCAAAAAGGTTCAAATCTCTTAATACCAATTATCATGATGATTTTCTTAGTCTACAAATATTCCTTAATGAACTGTGTACCGGTCCTATGATGTAAGTCAGATGTTGTACAATGTCTATTGTCAACTGTTTCAATCACATTTTTTTTCTAAAATAGTGTCTGAGGGTAATAATGGTGTAATTACAAACTGAGTTTCTGGCTGGTTTATTGAGCTAGCCAGGCCGGCCGTTGGGTCTTGCCCTTGGCTCGGTAGCGCAGAGTAGTCATTGGTATCCCATGATGTCTGGCACATGCCCTTATACTCTGGAATCTCCCTGTCTTCAGGTCCAGAAGAGCTTGCTCTAAAACGCTTGGTGAGTAGCGTTTGTACAGTGGAGGGTCATGGAGGCTCATTTTACTATAATCATTTCGTTGATTGTTGACATCTAAAATAACAAAGACAAAGTAAGAAGTAAATAAAAAATTAACTTTTAGCGAATTTCCCTATAGGGAAGTAGCTATTACCGTAGGTGGCACGGTAAGACCTAGGCCTGGGACCGATTTACTTTTTCATTTTGATGTCCCCAGAGGCCAAAAATACCATTTGTTCGAATTTTTATATATGTTTATATATGTATATATATATATATATATATATATATATATATATAGATTTATATATACAGGGTGACAAAAAAGTCCGGAAACGGCTTGATATCTTTTTAACTCAATTCGTTTGAAAATTCAAACTTTTCACATCAACTTATATGTATGATAACTACTTTTTGCAAGCATTACCATTTTTTGAACTCTACCAGGGGACGACCCATGAGGAGTAGGTACATAATCTTGAATGTGTAAGCATAGGTTGATATGTACATCATTTTAAAGGTCTGGTCAAGTGGAGTTCATTGCCGGAAACCGCGTCAAAAAAGGTTCATCCGTTACAAAATGGCGGCTGTCCGGAATATACCTGCAGAGGCCTTAGTATTGGTAAATACTCATATTCAACATTAGCCGGGAAATCTGAAACACGGTTAAATTTGTTTTGAAGATTTTATAATATTAGTCTATGAGCTAGTTGACTTTAAAATACAGTTTCAGCTCTCAAGCTAATGTTTAATACGAGTATTTACCAATACTAAGGCCTGTGCGGGTATTTTCCACAAGAACTTTGGACAGCCGCCATTTCGTAACGGATGAACCTTTTTTGACGCGGTTTCCGGCAATGAACTCCACTTGACCAGACCCTTAAAATGATGTGCATAACAACCTATGCTTACATTAAAGATTATGTACCTACTCCTCGTGGGTCGTCCCCTGGTAGAGGTAAAAAAATTATAATGCTTGGAAAAAGTATTTTCATGTAAGTTGATGTGAAAGGTTAGAATATTCTAACGGTTTTATTTAAAAAGATATTTAACCGTTTCCAGACTTTTTTGTCACCCTGTATATATATATATACGTCCGTGAACGCGATAACTTGAGTAATTTTTGTCAGATTTTGATGAAATTTGGTTTAAAAGTGTAAGGTGGGATAAACTTGAATGAGTTCGCGAACCAGCATGATCGGACCATGGGAACGGGGTTTTACAGGGGGTTTTATGAGGTAAAAAATGGTTTTTCTCATTTTTGACCCTCAAAACACAAAATTTCCCAATTTCTCTCTAGACCTTATTAAAGAGCTTAAAAAAACAAATAATTTAGTATATCAAAGTGTTTTTGTACAATTATTGGTAGCGGAGAAAATTTAAAAAAATGTAAATTTAAAATTCCCTTGTTATTCTTATGGAGAAAATTGTAAAATGTTGTCGTTTGCTTGTTTATGGATATATTTTGATAAAACTTGGCAAATTTATTTATTGTTTACTAAGCTATTAATATTTTACTAAAAAAACCCCACTTTAACAGTTTCCTTGTAGCAGCAAACCTAGGTACTCGTTAAACCTTATCCTATATATTAAAACGAAACAGGGTTTTTTTATTTCACGATTCTGAATCAACCACTTGACGGATTTTTATGATTTTTGTGTTGAAAGAAAGATAATTTTGAGAACTAGGGAATGTCGAAGCCATAATTTTAGTTTAGGGTTTCAGTTTTTTAGAAATTAAGTTTTAATTTTCAAAAAGTCTAGCAGCCGACGGACGAGTTAAAGTCGTTTTAGTGGTGGTTTAACTAACAGCTGGTTTCTAACTGTCATTGAAATGTTTATGTTACAAGTTGTTTGTATACAAAAATATTGATCGTCAGAGTTTGCTTAAACACTATTTTACTTTTAAAATGCAGTTTATTTTCTACCGTAAAAGATCTATATTATGTTATCAGGAGATTGTGTAATTTTGAACTAAACATTTTAAACGTATAATCAAGTTTTTTCATAAATACAATCCGTCTAGCCTAAGTGTAAGTGCTTAATCCTTTAAGATATAAGTGGTTTACTGTTGATACATCTTTTTCTAGAAGTTTGAATATAAGTATGACTGCATACAGTACACATTTTATTCGTAATGAAAATGTCAACCGGTGTAGTAGGTCTCCAGAAAACTGACCAGTAAGCTGCAGGGTGTCAGTAGAAACCAAAATCCATTCATACCATATCATAACTATCCCAGTAGTACTGTATGATTCAGAAATTTAAAAAAGTGGTACATTCCAAAAGTAGACCAAAAGGCTTGAATCTCGGATGGGCTGGGCAGGCTTTGCATGGCGGAGAGAAGATACTTCAACTTTTAAAAGTGTATTCCAAGGAGTACTACAAGGTAGACGACCACTTGGAAGACCAAGTAATGAAAGACATCTTCAGACTGGTATCTTACTGTCTTCCTGTCATCCAGAAATGGCAGGGGATAGAAGAGAACGGGGAGGCAGGATCATTTTAGAGGTTTTAGTGGCCAAGGTGGTAAAATAAGGTACGGTAAGTGATAGTAGGCCTATGCAGTGGAAGGTGGTATGTAGCTACTGTACTCAAAGCCAGTGTGTGTGAATCGGCCACCAAGTTGTAAACTAGCTGTTCTGAATCATATTCAGTTTTAATTGACTACTCGATTCCCGTACGTAGGACGGGCTAACATCTCGTTTTATTTAAATAGATTCAATTGAAAATCAATTCCGACAAATGGAAATTCGCTTAGTCGGCAGGTTTGCTGCGGCGAGGGTATTTAAATTAACGGTCTCAAAGAACTTGTTTCCATACTATTAACAAAATCTTCTGTGTTAAATGCTTACAGTTTGGGGGTAAAATAGCTCTTTTTCCAAAGGAGCTAAAGAATAAACTGGAGTCGAGGACATCACGGTTACAATTTATTAGATTACAAATTCGTCCATTGGTTTTACCAAAGAAATCAAAGTCAAAGTCCTTTATTCTGCCAGATTAACACAAATTTTGCATTGGTCAAGTCTAGCTAATAAAATTACATTTATTTATTTTGAAATTAAATAAACTAGGTTTTGGCCCATCTTATGTACGGGAACCAATTGGTAGCCTAAATTAAAACTGAATATAATTCAGAACAGCTAGTTTACGTGCAGAAGAAACATTCTTGCAGTTTTGACAATGAATACAAACCCTTTAATAAGTTTTTTATTAATTGGTCATAATAGATGAAAATCTTGTAAACAAATATCACGTGAACAACATATAAATCATCATATAATTTTACAATAAAACGTAATTGTGTTGATTTGAATAGCCTTGAAGTAAGATTGGCGGTTGATTCACACACACTGGTTACTGGTTTGAAACACAGTAGCTACGCTACCTTCCATTGCATATTATCAGTTTACATAGAACCTTATTTTACCTCAGTGGCCACTGAAACTTTAAGAGGATGATGGCTTCCCGTTTTCTTCCATCCCTTGCCTCTTATAATTTTGATCCCAGTCTGTAGAAGTCTTTCATTGCTAGGTCCTCCAAAGTGGCCGTCTTACTTGTGGTACTCCTTGGAATACATTTAATTTAAGTATATGTATCTCCTCTCCTCCACGCATAGACTGTCCATCCGAGCCTTTTACTTCTGGAAAGCACCCATGATATACCTGGGTGTTTAAACTTTTTTAGCTCTCTGTTCTTTCGTATCTCAACCACCGCTATCTTGAAATGGCCTGTATATTTTCTCTGCACTCTATTCTCAAACCCAGCAATAAGGTTTTTTGGTTCTTTGTTCAGGGCCCAAGTTTCTGAACCATACAGTAGGCCTACTACTGGGATAATATGGTATGGTATGAATCAAATTTGGTTTCTACTGACACACTGCAGCTCATTGGATAGTTTTCTAGAGACCTACCACTCCAAAAATTTACATTTGCTTTACCAAAGCAAAAATATGGTATGCCGACATAGTTCTGACATTATCAAATAAACCGTCCATACCTATCCTTTAAATAAATGTCACTACAGTAATTGCTCAAATAAATATTTAAACAAAGAAAAGTATAAACAATGACAGATATAATATATATATACAATCTTGGTCTTCGGGGTTCGACCGCGTCCTCAGTGCAATCAACTCACTGACCTACAACACAGCCCGCTACATAGCCAAGATGTTGAGTCAGGATGTAGGAAAAACTTCAATAACACACATCAAGGATTCCCGGCATTTTATAAACATAATACAATCCATCAAACTTGAACCTACCGACATTTTAGTCAGTTTTGACGTAGTTTCTCTGTTCACAAAAATTCCCCTGGATGATACTGTTAAAATAATACAAGAACTGTTACCAGAAGATTTGGCTAAAATTGTAGAGTTGTGTCTTCGCTCCACATATTTTTATTTCGATGGGAGATTTTATGAACAAATAGATGGAACACCTATGGGATCACCACTATCACCAGTTGTAGCCAACCTGTTTATGGAAAACTTTGAAAATAAAGCCCTGGATACCATAGATCTAAAACCAAAGGTCTTCTTACGTTTTGTGGACGACACTTTTGTGATTTGGCCTCACGGAAAACACACCTTGGACAAATTTCTCCAACATTTAAATTCTATTAACCCAAAAATTCAGTTTACAATGGAAGTAGAAGACAACAGGAAGTTACCATTTCTAGACGTTTTAGTAATTAGGAAGCCAGACGGTAGCCTAGGCCATTCCGTACATAGGAAGAAAACTCACACAGATCTTTACCTTCATGCTGAATCGCATCATCACCCGTTACAGAAGACTACAGTTCTTAACACTTTGGCAAATCGAGCGTTCAACATTTCGGATTCAGAGAACAAAAATCAGAGAATCTTCATTTACTCAAAGGGCTACAAGAAACAAGATATTAAGAAAGCTATAAATAGACAGGGAAAATCAAGAAAATCTACAGAACAGCAAGGAAAGAAGGATTATGCCATTTTACCTTACGTCAAAGGCACGACAGAAAGAATAAGCAGGGTTTTGAAAAAACACAACATAAAAACAGTATTTAAACCTCCAACAAAAATAAAACAATTT